CCACTACAGCCCGTTGTAGTGGTTATGGTGTTTGAAGAGTTCCATTAAACATCTAAACTGTGATTGGCAGCTATCTTCCCCAAAATAGCACAATTAATAATACAGTAATATCAAGTTATATACAGGTTATATTTACATTTTTTATTTTTTTATTTCAAAGATGTCTTGAGGTATAGAAAGAAGGTAGAAAACTAGGAAAAGAGGGACACATCATTCCCCCACTTCATCCATCTCAATGGACAGGGACAGAGGTTAAGCGTACCAATTTGATGCTGCAAACCAGGGGTAGGAAACCTTTGGCACTCCAGATGTTGTGGACTACATCTCCCAGAATGCTTTTACTGTGATAGTGCTGGCAAAGCATTATGGAAGTTGTAATACACCACATCTGGAGTGCCCAATGGGCCCAGGCAATTTGGGCTGACAAATCAGAAAGTACTGCAGATCCACACTTCTATGGAATTAAATGACCATAAATGGCTTTGTGCTTGCACTGCATTTTTTGAGAGTTTACCTCGGTGACCCCAAAATCCAGATATTACAGAAAAACATTAGACAGTGGAACATGACACCAAATTGGGACTATCCTGCTGGATTTGGGACTGTTTTATGATTTGGATGTTAAGCTGCAGCTGTTGGCCAGTTTAGATATGGTATTATCATAAAAGAACCTTCAACCTATCAAATCCAGTCAAGTATTATATTTTTATGTTACACTCTGTTCAAATCTCATTAAAATCTGAAATGCTCAAATAAGAATACTCAATATTCTTCAATATTCTAAATACTCAAATAAGAAGTAGCTTGCATTTTGTCGCTCATGCCACTCAGCCATTGCAGACAACTCATTTGCATGGCAACAGCAATCCTTGCCTCAACCTGGACTATAAATCTGCGTTATTTGCTTTCTTCCTCCCCCCCTCTCACCCCCCAGATTTACAGAAAGAGCAGGGTCAGCATTTTTTTCAGAGATTGGACTGTTTCCAACAGGTCTGGATTTGCTTCCATTTGCAACTAAATTTAGTGAGCTCACCCCTCCTCCTGCTTAAGCCAGGGGGAACCTGTCACAAGCATTCATTAAATGCCGTGGTTATGTACTGACTCATATTGTTTATTCTTGGATCTTTCTTGGTATTCTGAAAAGTAAATCTCACATAAAAACACATGGGAGAAAGTGGGTTATGAATTATATTTATTTACATAGTTAGGACAAATTCCATAGTAATGTACAGGAGTGCTATGTATCTAGTAGCAGACAATGAATACCTATCAGAGCACGGTGACAAGATAGTGTGTAATCTGTCCTCATAAGTTTCTACTTATGTCTACTAAATGGTTTCTCCTAATCATCTCTTCCCTCTGTGCATCCTTCATCTCTGGAACTTCCACACAGTATCCAAAACTCTCTTTTCCTCTCAGTCTTCTAAAAGTTCTTCAATATTCAATTTTTCAAGGCTGCCTATAACTTGTAAGGCACACAAAACAGGAGATAGAGCAGCGCTAATCAAACTAGATACAGTATAGTGACAGGCAGCACGCCTGTGCATAGGGGGATCCCTCCAACCCCCAAAGAAACTATAACAAGTAAAACAAAGAATACAGGTAGCGCCAGAGATAAAATATTAGAAGTAGGAAAAATAAAAAGCAAGAACAATAAAATATATAAAAAAAGAGTCCAAATAATACAAATACCAAATAGTAAAGCACAGTCTCAAATCTAGCAGCAGATCTTCTGATTAAAGTATGGACTGCTTCGCTTAGTACCAGCCCATGAAACGAAAGCAAAGACAAAGGTGGACAAATTATGCAATATGATAAAGTGCAGTAGGACAAACAACACTGAGAATAGATGTCAACTCACATATGGTAGAGCTATAACCAGCTCTAAGTACAACAGCATGTAGTGGTTTTCAATCCTCAAGGATATCCCTCTGATTATGGTACACAGTAGTAAATCGCAGCTGGATAACGTTGAGGTAAATCATATGGATTGACAAAGGAAGCTGCCAAGAGTGCTCTCTATGAAAGAAAGTAATAATAAGATAAGTGGAAATATACTAACAATAAAAGTAGCAGACTGACCACTTTATGGCAAGAATTCTTTTGTTGATTTTCAGCAAAAGGTGACAATCCAACACCTGGAATTATTACCTTTTGCTGACAATCAACAAAAGAATCCTGGGGATTATACCACTCAGGCCTGAATCATAGCCGGTCAGTCTGCTCACTTTATTGTAAGTATATTTCCACTTATCTTATTATTACTTACTTATATAGAGAACACTATTGGCTGCTTCCTTTGGCCAGTATGTACATGTTGTTTGAGTTTGTCTTTGACTGTCAACCTAAACCACTGAACAGCATACTGGTTGCCTGAAATGCAGAACTGTATTAAGACTGCCCAGGACCATAGGCAAGGTGCCATATTGGGGCCCTCTCTTAGAGCTCTGGGCTCTGTTATGTGAGTGTTGTGTGTAGGGGGATGAGTGTTTTGTGTGAGAGTGTTTGTAGTGGCTGACTGTTGTGTGTAAAGGAGGCAGAGAGCTGTATGGGGGGTGGGGAAGTCTCAGTGTGTCTGTGTATGCTGTTTGAGTGTTGCGTGTGTGGTGGTTGAATTTTGTGTGTGGACGAGTCAGAGTGGTGTGAGTGTGTGGAGCATGGCTAGGCCAATACTTTGTTCTGCCTAGATCCAAGGATGAAATGCTGCCCCCCCACCCACAAATACCACGCCCACTAAAACACACCTGCATCCAATTTTTGCTTCTAGATCTCTCCGATGCAGCTGACCTGCTGAGATAAGGCTGAGTAAGAAGTGCCACAGAGCGCTGACATGACGTCTAAATTCAAAACGCTCCTCAGTAGAACCCACTCCCACCGAGAGCTGAACCTCCAATCAGAGGAGGAAAAGCTCTGCATTCAGCCCGCAGTAAAGCAGTTAAAAGCTTGAGCTTACTGCGGACAAGTTAACAGGGGCACAGTGGCAGAACGTAGAGAGGTCCATAGTGCAAGAAACATGTTGAGTCCCCCCTAGCGTAAGAGTGGCCAAAAGGTAGATTCCTATCTGCCACAGATATCACAAAATGAGTTGCGCTGGACCTCGCGGGATCGGAACGATAGACCATAGCTTGGGGAACACGTGATATTCTTAGATACACACACTAGTGTGACACACATCGAAGTAAGGGACAACACATGTTCATAACTTACAGTTATGTACCAAGTAGACCTACATCACGCTCACCACATGCTAACGTTGGTACACACACCAATGACGTGGCACACTCACCCACACTGACAATCGCGTTGTCACTGACAACGACATGTAACTCGCAATACGGGATATTGGCGAACTGCAGGCTCTGCTGGGATTGGTAACGTCGTTGGCCATAGCGCACGCTAGCTACGAACTAGGACTACTCCCACCATTTCTGCGTGCTAGGATATACCTAGCGACACCAAAACGGACCTACGGGTCCGAACCCAGTGGGAACCAGTGGCCCGCCTTACATATAATGGCTTCAATTACCCGCCCAAACGACCAGGTAGCGCATTGTCATGTGGCTCCCGCAATAACTAGTTGAGAACCACCTGTCCCGACGCAACTTCTGTTTCCCCTTTACGCACACATTGGTTAAGTGAGGCAATCTGATTGCTCCAGCCGTTCCAATTTATATAATTATACTGCTTTTAAAGTGTGAACAACGTACTCATCTGGCACGAGGACTTGCGAGTTTCTCTAGGGAAAGTTGAGGGAGATCCGCATACCTCATTGTACTGTATAATGTGTGCCTATAAACTACAGAAACCTGCGAGTTTCACACTGTTTACCAATTAACTGCTTTCCACATTCTGAAAATGTCTCAATAAAAAGATTTACAAAAAAAAAAATGAGTTGTGCTGGAGATCTACAATTTGCCCATCTTTTCAGTGTTTTATTTTAGGCAATGTTTGAATGTTTGAATGTAGGCATGTTTTTGTATGGAGTGTAAATGTAGGAGAATTTTTGTGTGTAGTGTGTGCATTTGAATACAGTTGTTTTGATAAATACTGTTGCCACTTAAAAGCAATAGAGTTGTTGTTAGTAGTATGTTTGAAAGCAGTGGTGCCTTTGTATGTAGTGTCTGTGTTTTAATAAATGGGTGTATTTATGTGTAGTTTTGTATATAATGTTGGCCTTTTAATACAGGGATTTGTTTGTATGTAATGTTTGATGGCAGGGCTGGGATTGCATATAGTATTGGTGTTTCAGTCTATGTAGTTTGGGTGTTTGATTGGAGTGATGTGTTCGTATGTAGTGTTGATGTTTAAATGTGAATGCTGGGATCTATGCACATATAAACATAAACACACAGTGACATAGATACACACACACATATATACTTACACTGACATACACACATATACCTACACACAGATACACACACACTTACACATGTTTCAATATATATATTGAAGTGGTTATGATGCCCTCGTTCAAGGAGAATCCATTCGCACCAATGGGTTAAGCTCAGTGTTCCAGCTTCTGGGTACAAAGGAGGAGACAACCAGCACCTGGTGGACCCCAGGTAAATTGTCAAACTGTTTACAAACTGTTTGACTACTAACCTTAGGAATTTGCCAGGGCCACCCTGATTTCATACCCAATACAGCAGGCTAATCCCTTTTTCTGCTCACACCATCACATGTGGTTGCCATTTTTCCTCTTGAATTCCTTAGACTCAGAGTGTTTCTTTAACTCAATAATGTGATTACTCAGAAAACTTATTTAAACCAACTTCTGCCACCCATAAATGTATTGCATTCCATCATTATGAAATTTAGTCCATTATGTTCATTCAAAAAAGTTACATGAAGGTGGCTGGGCTGCCGATGGAGTAGGACGCAGGCAGTGAGAGCTCCCGGGCCCCAACCCTGCCATAGCCCGTTTTAAAAGCGTTACCACTCCCGTCCGAATGGGTAAACCGAGGAAGGGGACTGCCCCGGGCCCGCAACTTACCGCCATGTCGCAGCAACCGGGACCGATGGACGAGTACCTGTCCACCCCACAATGTATAGCAGGCACACGAGGCCCAGACAAAATGGCGCCCGGATCGCCGGGAACACAGAGCAGATCGAACTCCACGCAGGACTCCCCGCGGAGAGACGCCCTCACTCAGATGTCAGCTGAACTCGCGGCAATCTCGGCAAACATGTTTTCCAGGCAAGACAAGAAGGAGCTGGTGGCAGAACTACGCGCGGCTATCCGGGAGGAGGTGGCTGCGGTCCGGCGCGACCTCTCCGCCCTAGAACACCGGGTGGGAGACCTGGAGGTCCAACAGCTGCAGTCAGAACAATCCCAACGGGCCACAGACCTGGCTACCACGAGGCAGGGCAACCTCCTCCTGGAGCTCAGACGCCAGGTGGAGGACCTTGAGAACCGCGGACGGCGCAATAATATCCGCGTCAGAGGCCTGCCAGAGTCGGAAGGAGAGACCCCAAGAGAGGTCCTGGAGGGCCTGTTCACACAACTACTGGGGGAAGAAGCTCCACCGGATTTCGGATTAGAGCGTGCACACCGGGCGCTTCGACCACCAAGGAGGGATGGCCTCCCCAGGGACTTGGTGTGCTGTTTTCAATCATTCCAACTGAAAGAAAGTATCATGAGAGCGGCCAGGGCACTGCGCACCATCACCTACATGGACTCGCATGTATCCCTATACCAGGACCTGTCTCCCCTCACCCTCGATGCCAGGCGAGCGCTGAAGCCCATCACAGGCCTCCTACAGCAGAAGCGGATCCCTTACAAATGGGGATTCCCGTTCAGTCTGCAGGCAAGAATTGAGAATCGCTGGCTGGCAGTCCGCTGGCCTAATGATGTGCCTAGATTTCTACGAGCAGCGGGCCTCCCTGAGACTCCCGTCCCTAACTGGATCCTTGATCACCCGCCGGCCAGGCCCACGGGCCCTACAGTTCCAGCGGATCACCTGTCGGATGGTGCCCTGCGGAGATCCTCGACGCACCGGAGCGGGCCCAACACCGCGGAAGAGTAGGAAGTCTGTAAGCACCCGAGAGCGCGCCCCTGGAGGGGTTCTTGCGCGGACCGGGAGCCCCGAGACCCCCACGTCCTTCCCCGCGGGTAAGGTGCACACCTGCCCGTAGGTACACGTGGATTAACTGAGGACTTGATACTGAGCATCTGGGGTATGTACCGTTCCTCCCCCCGGGCCTGGGACTCCCCTATGTGTACTATAAGACCTGCACCCCCCGGGAACTTAGCACTTGGGTGGGAGACGGGAAATGGGGGGGCAGCAAAGTGGAAGCATAGAAGGGAACTGGCCACCACCACTTCACACGGCCTCAGTGGGGGCAGTGCGGGTTCAGGTAGAGCACCCGACCTACTGGAGTTATTAACAGCATGTCAGAACCTGGTGTGGGGGCGGGGCCTGCGGGGAGGTGGGGCGGGTCTCCTAAGGGGTTACTCACTGGAGCTGGGGAGCCATGGCGGTACCCGGAGGGAGGAGGCTGGAAGCACACCCGCCACACCCCCCCGGGCCCGAGGGCCAAAAGGTCTACGTCCTGACCCCTACAGGGCCGAGAGGGGTAGAGAGGGGGGACGACCGGGCACCTGGGGACGCACGAAGGAACTCGTGCACAGACCGAAACAGGGCACAGGAACCAATAAGCACTACTTACAAGTGGCACCACTAAAGTCAAAGAAGGGCCAGAAGGCTCGTGTGTCCTCGGAGAGGGGGGAGACGGATAATCTGGCAGGGCGGGAGGGGGTAGGACGGAGAATCTGGACGAGGGGGGGTTGAGGGGGCAGGACGGTCCATAGGCCCTCCCTGGGGCACTAGGGGTAGAACACTGACGGGGGACAGCTGAGACTGGACGGAAACCGCACACACATCACAACTGGCGGGTTGGGAGCACCGGGAGACGGACTCGGACCAGACACACACACTAGGTTGTTCCGCGCCGCAGGCGACCTTGCTCACACCCCACGCAACTGACCCGTGGTGTACAAACTAGTCGGAGTTCGGTAGGACTACAGTCGAGTAGCTGCCGAGCAACTCTATCCGACCGAGGTTCATTGTTGCTCACAAACCGTTTTTTTATTTTTTATTTATTTATTTATTTGTATTTTTTTATTTATTTAATTTTTATTTTTTTTCTTCCTTCTCTTTCCCCCCCTCCCCTCTGCCACCTGCCCATTCCTCTCTCTCTCTGCGTCTCTCCCCCACCCTCCCCTTATCCCCCCGAGCCCACGTACAGTCAATTACACAATGCCTTCCCAGACAGGGCCGGCCGGGGGCTGTTCACCCCGAGGGGCCGGGGGGAGTCTCGCCCCCGCACAACTCAAAGTGTGGTCTAATAACGTGAGGGGCCTAAACACCCCGGAGAAGCGGTCTCAACTTTTGAGGCAGTTATGGGCGGAAAAGGTGTCTGTGGCGCTCTTGCAGGAGACGCACTTTAGGGGTCAGGATTCTCCGAAGATTGAGAATAGACGCTTTCCACAGGGGTATTACGCCAATAACCCAGAGGCTAAGAAAACGGGAGTGGCGATTCTGTTCTCCCACATAGTCCCGTTCCATCTCATAGACACCATGACGGACCCGGGGGGGAGGTACATCTTTTTGAAGGGCACCATCGCACACCACACCTACACTTTCGCAAGCATTTATAGCCCTAACCGCGGACAGCATAAATTCTTTACCAAAACACTAGCCAAACTAGAAAAATTCAGGGCCGGCCTGCTGATATTGGCAGGGGATCTCAACGCTCCCCTGGACCCCCGGATGGACACCACCAGAGGGACCAGCACTGTCCCAGAGCACAGCCTACGTGCAATGCGACGAGCACTGACTGGCATGGGGCTGGTCGACTGTTGGAGGGTGGCCCACCCGGACGATAGAGACTTCTCCTATTACTCGTCAGTATATAGGCAATATAGTAGGATAGACTACATCTTCATGCCCCAGGAGAGCCTGGCGCTTCTCCGAGACGCTTCCATAGGGATTATCAACCAGTCCGACCATGCCCCAAACACGGTGATAATGAACTCACCTTTATTTAAACCGACCGAACGCCAATGGAAGCTCAACGAAACCATGTTAACAGAGCTCGAGATACGCACCAAGACACTACAGACGCTTACGCAGTACTTTGACACTAATGACACACCCGACATGCCCCCTCTGATGCTGTGGGAAGCCCACAAATGCGTCATTAGGGGTCACTTTATATCTATCAGCACACAACGCAAGAAAGACAGGGCTCGCCGAATTTTGGACCTCACGGCGCGGATCGCAGACCTAGAGAATACACATAAGCATAGCCTAGATGACGACACATACTTACGACTCACAGAGACACGTAGGGCACTCAAAGCACACTTATCCCAGGGATTACTACATACGTTGCGGAAATCAGCTAGGCACTTCTATGAGCACTCGAATAAGTGCGGTCGACTTCTGGCGCAGGTGCTCCGAGAGAAGCGTAGAGCCCAACATATTCACCAGATACACACCGGACACGGACAGCACACCAGACTACCAGAGGGCATCATGGCAGCATTTAGGGCCTACTATAGGGACCTATACAACCAAGCTAGGCCAGCTCAGGGGACAGAAGCCCAAAACCACCGTAGGAAGGTCACAGACTACCTAACGCGACACGTGACTCGCAAACTCACTCCGGAGCTCGCTGAGGAAATTGATGCTCCCCTAACCTTAGAGGAACTAGCCGCAGCCATGAAACGCTCCAAAACCCACAGGGCCCCGGGGCCGGACGGCCTCCCCCTCACATATTTAAGAACTTTCCGAGACGCCCTACTACCCCGACTTCTAGCAGGCCTGAACTCCTTACAGGACGGGGGGCGGTTCCCCAAGGACTCCCTGGCGGCGATAGTAACGGTTATCCCCAAAGACGGGAAAGATCCATCAAACTGCTCGAGCTATAGACCAATTTCATTGCTAAATGCGGATCTGAAGCTATTTACCAAAGCTCTCTCCCTGAGGGTGTCACGGATCCTGCCGGGTCTCATTCACCCAGATCAGGTGGGCTTTATTCCGGGCAGAGAGGCCAGGGACGACACGATACGAGCCCTGAACATCATACATTGCGCACGAACCTCGGGAAGGGACACAGTCCTCCTCTCTACGGACGCCGAAAAGGCGTTCGACAGGGTGGACTGGGTCTATTTGGACGAGACCCTAAGACATATGGGGTTTGGACCAAATGTACGAGCCTGGGTGTCGGCGTTATACTCCTATCCAACGGCACGGATCCGCATTAACGGAGCCCTAACGCAGTCCTTCCCGATTGGCAATGGGACCCGGCAGGGTTGTCCCCTGTCCCCCCTCCTGTTTGCCCTCTCTCTTGAACCATTTCTGGAGGCGGTCAGACAGGACGGGGGCATAACGGGGGTGAAGGTGGGGTCTGAAGAGCACAGAGTGGCGGCCTATGCGGACGACATGCTCTTTTTCATGGAACAACCCAGGATATCCATGCCCAACCTCTTACAGGCGTTCCACACCTATCACCAGGTATCCAACCTAAAACTCAACGTTGAAAAGTCCGAAGCCATGCCGATAATGCAGGGAGAGGAGCGGGCCCGTCAGCTGGGCTCCCAGTTCGCCTTCTCCTGGTGCACAACCAAACTAAGGTACCTTGGTACCTGGCTGCCAGCGGACCTGACGCAGATATACAAGCTAAACTTTCTCCCTCTCCTCTCCGCAATCCAACAAGACCTTCAGCGGTGGACGCAGCGGTACGTATCCTGGTTTGGCCGTATTGGTGCGGTCAAAATGAACATTCTCCCCAGGCTGTTATATCTCTTTGCGGCACTACCCACCAGGATCCCCCAGACGTTCTTCAACTCGGTGACAACAGCTATCCGTAGGTTTGTGTGGAACAACAGGCAGCCGCGCATCCGTAGGTCGATCCTGGAGAGACCGAAGGCGGCCGGGGGGACGGGGCTACCGTCAGTGATCTCATACTATAGGGCCACACACCTCCATAGGGTAGTAGACTGGCATGCGCGGCCAAGTACCAAACGATGGGTATCCATGGAACTGCAACAGACTCGGGGCACTGTCCCGTCGCAGCTCTGGCTGGGTGGGTATACCTACACAGACCTGCACACAAAAAACCCGGTGATAGACGCAACTCTCAAGGTGTGGTGCGGACTAAGATATGCCTACCAACTCACCACCTCCCCAAACCCGCTTACGCCTATTACTCACAACCCGAGGGTTGCGGGTGGCCTTCACCCGGTTGCTTTACGCAATTTCCAAAGAACAGATTGGTTCTATGTACGCCAGTGGAGTCCGGGGGGAACGCTGCAATCGCTGGGGGACTTATTGCCAGACGGGCAACCTACTGTTCTCGACAAATTCCACTATCACCAGGTTAGGTCCTACTATACCAAAATCCCGGGGAGAACTCAACTCCACCGTACACTTACGGAATTTGAACGCCTGTGCACAGACAGACGACATTTAACCCATGGGGTGTCACACTTATATGCTCTGCTCCAGCAGTCAGGGGATAGTGGCCCACTAGGCTTCACGAGCAGATGGGAGGAGGAGACGGGTACACAGCTGACGGACCAAGAATGGGACAAAATATTCCTCCTCACACATAAATGCTCAATTAGCTCGAAATTCCAGGAAACCAGCTACAAACTGTTAACACGATGGTACAGAACACCAGACACACTGAGGCACATACAGGGGACGGACACAGGCGATTGTTGGAGATGCGGATTAGAAAGGGGCACCAACCTACACATCTGGTGGTCATGCCCTAGTATCAAACCATACTGGCAAATGATCAAGGCAAAGATCAAGGAGATCACAGGGGACGACATCCCCCTACAGCCGCTGCCAATGCTTCTACACCATACACCCACCCCAACGCAGGCATACAAAAAGTCACTGACAATACACCTATTGAACGCAGCAAAGGCCCTCATTCCCCTGCACTGGAAAGGTCCATCAGTTCCCACACTTAGACAATGGATAGACAAGGTGGAGACCATCTACGACAT